AGCGGGTCGCATGACACTAGATAAGTGAGAGATGGAGGAGGCTCGACTGTAGATGGGAGCAGGGGACGGTGGGCTCCGTATCTAAGTTGAGGAGGTGCTCGAAGTGCTCTCGCCAGCGTTCAATCGTATTCGCGGTGTCAGCAATAAAGCTGCCATTCACATCACGAACTGAGTCACTCAGTGAAGACAGTCTACTACTAGCCTGGCGAATAAGTTGGTTAAGCTTTCGAGTATCACCAACGTTTGAGGCCTGCTCCATAGAGATTGCAATTTCAGCCCAGTATTTATTTCGGTCCTCTCTGGCTGATTTTGCTGTCATCTTCCTTAGTTGGTGGAAAGAATTGTCATTACGGCCCCTAGCTCGGGCTGTCTCCGCAGACAACTGTAGGGTTCGTCCGCTGATTCAATCACTGTGGCGCCGCTCCATAGACTGATGTTTTCAGTGAGGACCATGGGTTACCCCCTTCGTTGTCGGCGCGGGTCGTGAAAAAGGACCGGATTTCTCTGCTTAGGGCCTCAGTGGTGTTGGGTTGCCGTATTTTGGCGACATCGAGGCGGCTAGCGCGGGGCACTTTGGGCGCAGACGAGAGGTGAGCTTTCAAGCGTGTGCGAACAAGAACGTGGTCAGAGCCATGGGCATTACCAGTCTCAACACCATGCAGTGACCGACTATCATGAACCGAGCTGCGGAATCTTAAGCTGACTAAAATATAGTCTATCTGACTGGCCGTATGGCCGTCGTTGGAGTACCAGGTCAGCAACTGTTTGTTGCGGTGCTGGAAGCATGTTTTCATTACAAACAGTCGGTTCCGTTCAGCAATCTGTCACCATTCTCACATCGAGAACCAAGCCCAAAGCGGCCGATAAGATGGCTGTTTATGGAGTCACCCGGCCCAGTCCGGCCATTCCAATAGCCGGCACCAATCAACCGATCGCGGCGAGGGAGCCTTTTAACCAGTGTTTGTAACTGAGAGTAAAATATGTCCTTATCGCGTTGCTCAGCAGCGGATGTTGGTGCATATACCGCGACCACATATATGTTTGTGAAGTGGCCCTTCAAGC